CCGGCGACGCGTCTCGTTTCAGAGCGCGCGAATTACCGCGGCGAATTAAGAGGTGCTTGTCTCCTCGTTGGACAATCGTTCGCGGGAGAAAGCATGGAAAGTGACGCAACTTACGCGTCAATCCGCCGTCCTTCCGTCGCGCGGGCCCCGGAAAGGATTGTCTTTCACGGAAAGTTGATCCTAACGAGGCGTCGTTTAGGGCGACGCTTAACTGGCGGCTTTCGCCGCCTTTAAAACGCGCACTTTGAACAGTCTCGAATGCGTCCGTTAGTTCAATTATGGTCGTCCGCGGCATCCTTTCGGAAAATTCCCGGGAGAGTTGCTTCACTCGCACGACATTGAAGCTCGAAGTAGCGCACGATGTTTCGCGTAATTGGGCCGTTCTTTATGCGCGAGGTAATTTGTTTCTTAATCTCATGCATCCTGAACCGTGCGTGAGCAGCGCGATGTGAAATTACGGATTAAACGCCGTAATCAATCCGGACAGTTTCGTGGTGAGTGAGCGCGCACGTGTTACGCACGTTGTTACAATTAATTTATCGTACGCTTGCTGCAACATTATCGCGCTGTACTGGCTCATCAACGAAAGATTAACTGTTTCATTTGTATATAACACACCGGTATAATTACGTCATTATTATGAAATGTTATCGGTAATTAATACCTCGCGCTCTCCTCGCCGTCGTTCGGGGGAAATTATAAATTCTCACCGGAACACTACGTTATGCATATTCAGCCGGGCGCGCTTAATTTCCCGTTCGGCGAATCCAGAAGACGCGCTTCCGAGTCGCCGACACGAAAGGCGGTGCTTATAATTACCGTGTGGGCCGCGGATTATTCTCAGATTCAGGCCCATCGGGGATTACCGTCACGTCCGACAAAACTTTCTTCCTCTCTGACCCTCGCGCCATGAATTACAATAATCCTTCGAGGCCGGCTCCGAAATAACGGTTTGACGATCGGCCGTTGTCGCTCTCTTCGCATTTCGTAGCTATTGTCCACGTCGAGAGGGGAAGAAAGAGAGTGAGACAGAGAGAGAGAGAAAAAGAGAGAAAGAGGGGGAGCTATCCTTTCGTGCAACACTCGTTTTATGGACCCGTGATAATTGATGCGACACGAACTCTCGTGAGTAACAAGTGATAAGCAATCTTCTCGTCGATCAATGTCTGTTCTTGATGCGCAGTGCCGCTTGTATCTAGTCGATCCAACCGGTGAACCTGGCATATTAGTTTCCATAGGGGGACATCGATCGTCATTCGAGTGACTTCGTACACGCGGCACGCACGCGGAAGATCACGAGCCGCAAGAAGCGCCCCGCCACATTCTTCAAGATAGCGGCCGGATGATAGAGGTACTGCTCGTAGAGAATTCCTCGAGGTACCGCATCATTTATATTTGCCGCTATCGGACATGCTCGCGAGCCCGCGTTTCTATCTATCGACCGAACGTAAAATCTATATTAACATCCATATTAAATTAGCGATCTGAGCTGGCGTGGGAAATAAGAGGAATTGAAGCGAAACTTAGTATCCTCGCGTAAATTTCGGCGTTATTGCCACGTTAATCTATCCGTGGAAGGCCCGGATTTACGGTAAATGAAAGGAATAGCGTGTTATCTTGCGAAAAAGAGATCTCGCGGATCTCGTGGAAGGAGGAAACGGGTTTTTTCACGATTAGCGCTCCTAATTGGAGTTGATCAGAGGAATTTACACGAAAATGCGAGAGAGAGAGAGAAAGAGAGCCGCAAATTCTCTGTTGGACAAAAAAGATCCCGCGCGATCAAGACGTCCCACGAGGAAGTGTAACGCGTGCGTTTTAACCAGCATGATAAAATTAATAGCCGTCATCTTCCTAATAGTTTTATTACGGTCATTAAGGGAACAGTCGTAATTCTCAAACGAGTTTATAACGACTGCTAATTTCATCATCGGGGGATACATCGCGAGCGACGCTGCGTTAGCCCCTTTCCCGCCTTCGTGGCAGCCGATTGACCCTGATTTCTGAATTACTCTCCGTAAAGCGTCGTCGGAGCAGAGATAAAATCTGATGGGGCTCCGTTTATCCGCGAACGGACGCCGCCGTCGAGACGACGCTACGCGTCTCCTCGGCGCGTGCGCCGCGGCGATCGCAAAAAGTGACCCGATAAACCTCAACCGGCGAAGTCTGGACTAACGGGGCAGCCGTTAGATGTAACGACTATTATTTTCCGCCTCTTTTGAAACTAGATCGCGCTCCGTCTGTCTCCTCCGCGATGTTTTTTTTCCCCGGCTCTTGCCTTTATCGGGTCCCAAAGCCCGTGCACGATCCAACAGACTCCGTAACAAAGGCTGTCGATATGCGCACATACACACAGCCAGACACACGCACGTATACACGGTACGTGCGCGATGCGATGTAAAAATAAATATGGCGGAGAAATTATGAGCAACGATAGGAGGAGTCGCTGTTGGATACTGCATGGATCGTTTAACGCTTTCGCGCTGTATTTTTTCTTTCCCCTCTTTTTTTTTTTTCTAATAAGCTACTGTTTATGCGGCTCGTACACATTTCGCTGATATACGGCAGACTTGTGTAACGAATGTGTATCGGTGCGTTTTTTCTCGTCGGAGATGTATCTGGGATATATTCAGCTTTCAGCGCGTTAATCGCTAATTAACGGGAACGTTCGACGTTATCGTTCCGACGTTGAGTCTACCGCCACAATTGGTTTTCGATTCTATTCCCGTTGAATTACTCAGTCTACTTGAGATTCACCGAGAAATGTGGTTTCCTAAAGCCTCCTTAATCTTCTGAAAGCATAACCCACCTTTAATTGTCGACGATCGGATAAATTCTCGCGTTTGTCTTCCGTTCAATTTCATCTTCTTATCTTTCTGAACGGAAGCCGGCTTTGAAGCTTACGGTGATGTCTGTCATTAACAGTTATTGATGTTGCTGATAAACATCTTGTGTGATCGATTATTCGCAGCATACACAAGCTGCTGCGGAAGCGGCTCGCCACTCGGCAGTTTCGGTGCACCTCCGTGAGGCATTTTCTAACGATAAAAACGAGCTTGCCCGCAAATTGCTATAACCGCAACAGAGGCCGTTCCTTCCGTGTAACCGCGATATTCTTACAACGCGCGATTCCGCGTCCGCCCGGCTCTCGTACCACCCACATTCCGCCGCTGTTTCGCGCAAATGTCCGCGAGATTTTCACGGACAAATTGTCAACGTTGAAGTCAGATCGCGGCTGTTGCGCAACTTTGTTTTATCTTTATCATTTGCGGTCGGGGCAAAGTGAAATCTTGTTTTGCGACCGTTACGAAAGATCCAATAACAAAACACGGTGAAAACACGAACGTGGTGCAACGACAGCGACAAATGATCATTGAATTCGGCAAAAGACACGTAACGGAATTTTAATGTCTCGAAGTTATGAATGAAGAGGGGGGGGGGNGCGCGGGGGCTATTCTGTTCCCGTGACTAGATTTATAATTCCCTTTTATAGACGGTTTCCATGCTGCCTAATTGCGCGGATTATGATTCAGAAAATGGCTGTAGTCGAAGCTATTTTAATGGTCGACTAACTCTTCCGACGCCGAAAGGCGTCCGTGTCTTTTATGTAACTTCGCGCGAACGGAAGCAGATGTGCGAAAATCGTCGTACCGCGGAGGCCAATTTTACGCCGAATGGAATTTATCTGCGCGATATTTCTTCTCAGAGGTTCGACATATTTTTTTATCGCAGAAGATCGCGACCGATAAAATCGTTATCATTCGTTTTCTTGCACGAAGGCACCTTTCCAATTTTAATCATACATTTGTTTCGGCAAATTCGCGCTTTATTGACCTTTCACCAAACCGTCCAAGTAAATTTTGGATCATTCTGTGCGTTTAGATTTAAATGCCAAGAAACTAAAAGCATGCGGCTATTCAAGTCTTGAAGCAGGTTGAGAAATGGTAGGATCGGATCGAACCAGCATTTCGAAAGATTCCCGCGATAATAAAACATTGCATGGTCTAATACACAAATTAAACATAAATATAATATAATTTAAAATAGCCAGAGAGAACCAAAACGATCTAAATATTAACGATCCAAAGGTGGAATAAAGTATGTTAATATTTAGATCGTTTATAGTCTCATCAATATCCAAGGGACCAAAGTTTCCTTATCATCGCACTAAAAGAACCATGCGTTGGATTCTTATTGGCCACTTTAAACTATCTTTTCGAACTTATTCAGAGCCATTTATATTTCTTTGTTTAAGCATAAATATGGTCATAGTCATAAACATAAATAACGGTCTAGGATTGGCACGATACCGTTCAGTTTGAACGGTGAAAGGAGCGGAGCGGCTCATGTGAATCCGAAAGACCATTTTCGGTCAGTGTCGCAATATTGCCTAACATTATTATCCTCCCGTTAGGATTTCTCATTACACGCTACCGTCGATCTCGCACTTTTTACTGGCCACATTTATATTCGCTTCGCTCCGAATCTCACGGTATGTATGTACTCAACAAATCTTGGGCACCCGTGAACGTGACGTACCTCCTTTACTGGGGATTCCTCGAGTCCGAACGGGATTCCACAGAATCCTCGATAAGCCGCGTATCTCGAAACGAAAAAACCAGAATCGACGTGGCGAGCGCGTCAATGCGGCTTTTATATCCTGTAAGAATACCACCCTGTAGATGCTGCGACGCGCACCCTTTTGCGTCTTTCCCTCCCGCGCTTCCCGGAACGCAAGCCAGGTCGATACGGGAGGACAGGTGAGATTTTCGGGGCTGGGTGCGTGCGCGAGCGAGTAAGCGAGAATCGTACGAATAGACGAATGAACTATTCTTCCTCTGCTCCTCGGAAAACGCTCATCTCTCTCTCTCTCTCTCTCTCTCCTCCGCGGAAAATGCATCTCTCCTACGCCGCATCTCCGCGGCTCCGCTCGGCCGTCTCCGGCGCCCCTCGGCGTCGCTCACGAGCGCGCCGCGACGAAAGCACTGTCAGTCGAACGCTGACCGCCGTGCACGTAGGACCGTTCGCGAGAGAGAGCTCGGTGCCAGCGAGTCACACGAGTCCCGTCGGAGTTCAGCTGTCGAAGCGGCCATCAAGTTTCGACGGCTGATCGCGCTGCAAGGAAATAAAGAAGAGGGAGAGAGAGAGGCAGCTATATAGATAGATAGATATATATATATATAAATATATATACAGACGTGTCTCGGAAAAATTCCGTGCGTGCAATTTTTCCGCTGATTGATTCGCGACTAGGGGAGAGAGAGTGGGTCACACGCCACTCGATGTCACACCGGTCTGGGAGACGACCGATCGTCGATTGATCAGCCGCCACCGACCCGTCGCGGGAGATCTGTTTGTCAACTCCCACTCGGTGGAGCCTCGTCGAGGACTGCTCGAACAATCGCGCGCGAGCGAGCGAGCGAGCGTCATCGAGACGGCACGGGGGCGGAATTAATTAATCTGGCGTGCGCTGCGTAAATAACGGAAGGCCGCGGCGGCGACGTGGACAGTGGTATCGATGGTGAGAGAGAGAGAGAGCTCGCGGCGGACAAACATTACACAGCTGACAGCCGGTAGGACGCGGGAAGGTCGGTTAAGCCGCTGCACCTGCTCCCGTACCTGTTTCGCCGGGAATAAATCTGAGAATTAAATCGGCGTGTCTCTCGAGCACGAGTCGAGAATATATACACACGGCTGCCTCGAGAGTCGCTCGTGCACGCCCCCTCGTCTCTCTTTCTCTCGCGGTGTTGACCTTCGACCTCGGGACCATCGAAGATTTTCGAGGACGACGAGGGTCGGGGAACCGAATCCCGAGTGAATTGAACGAGCGGAGAGTCCGTCCGGTTAATTCGTGCCACTTCACGCGACGTCGCGGGAGATCCACCACGAGTGTGACTTCCCTCTCTCTTTCTTCTCGTCCCGTCGTCGGTGGTGCGACGCTACACGTCGAAAGTTGACTGACCGAGTGACTCACGGGATTAAGAGTCATTCTCGAGACACCGTGGTGGTGACGTCGGGTCGTCGCCGCGTCCTTCCTCGCGGGAACACTTATCACGTCGGCATCGTCGGGAAAAACACCGATATATCTCTCGATATCGAGGCATCGCCTGGTCGCGCCTTCACGGTGATCGAGTTAAGCCGCGCGAGCGAACCGTCAAATTCCTTCGAGCTCCGTCAACCGCTGACGCGAGTGAATTGTATGAGACTTTAATCGAGGCCGAGGAAGAGAGACTGAGAGGAGAGAAAGAGAGAGAATGAGAGAAAAGGACGACTCCCAAGAAGTGTTGCGTTGATCTTCCCGGGCGAACCTACCGCGCTCGCCGTCCAATCAAACGCGAATTAACGAAACTTGAACGATGAGTTTTCCAACAATAAAAGAGAACGGAGATTCTTAGGGGAGAGAGAGAGTCCTGCCAACGTTTCCGCCTCAATTCCCGCACTTGAGCCGTGAATCGTAATTGGGGTATTACTCGTATTCGCGTCGAGTCCGAGGATTAATCCAACTCGGAAAAGAGTCCCGTCCCACGATGAGAAAAGACAAGAGCGCTCAGGAAGGGCCGAATTAGATATTACGGATAACTGCCGCGAGTGGTAATCGTCTTCCCGATCACCCTCGAGGATACCTCCTGCGATTCTCCGGCGAGGAGGACGTCGAGACGAGCGATCTCGACGCGTCGTCACCAGACGTCAGGATTAAGTGTCCGAGGACGGGGTTCCCTGACGGGGCCAGGGGGGATCACGTGCCTGTTACAAGGCGGTCCGCGGTGCGGAAGGGCCGCAGGTCCCCGTCGGTCAGCAGCGTGTCGGGCGTCAGGCGGTCGCGAGAGAATGCGAAAACGCGCGGTCACGGCGCCGGCGACGACCACGGCAACGCGGTCCTGGCTGATCCTGGTGGTAGAATGTTGACGGCCCGATCAGGGCCTCTCGGGCTCGGCGTACCACGAACCCTGGGGCCCGCGGAGGGGAGCGATCACCTCTTCCTGCTGCCGGAACGTGCGCTCGTCATGGACAGCACCCACCTGCGACAGGACCTAGCCGGTCTCGACTTCAACCTGCACCTCAACCTCCTGCACACCGCGCCCCGTGGCAACGTCTGGCTATGTAAGTTATTAGCCGCCACTAGTTTCTAGTTAGAGAGAGAGAGAGGGGGGGGGCAGAAGGAAACAGAGAGTTGCGACTCTCGAATCGCTCGATCGTTGCTCCGACTTCATCGACGTGCCTGACTTCCTCCGACTTGACTCACCTTCGCGTCGGGAAAAAGAAGCCGTCTGTCGGAACGGTCGTCCGAAATTTCTGCCCGGCGTCTCTTCCCGTCACGCGTCTATGGTTCTGTCGTTCGCAGATGAGTCACGGGAACGAGGTGTAACGTCGACGGTAAAATTAATCGCCTCCGGTCGGCCGGAAGGCGCGGATGATTCTTTCCCGTGCCGCATTTCTCGGTAATTTGATCATCTTCCGCAGGTGTGCGCGCCTCGCGATACGCGTCGAAACGAGACGTACTGTTAACTGGGTCGTTCCTCTTTCGCGATTTCTCATCTGCCCGCCTACCCGATCATGGGCCCGATGACCCGTGGCATCTGGACGACGACGCGGCTCCTCCGCGGAAAGTCGTGACATCCGATTACGCTCGCGAGATTATCGGCGCGATTATCGTCGCCGCGGAGAAAATTGGAACGGAGTCGCAGCAGGTTGCTCGTCTACTTGCTTGCGAAAGTCGTGTGATACAACGGTGTGTACAAAGAGGGTGTTTTTTGTCTCGCAGGCTTCTTGGTCCGAAAACTTCCAGGAAGCCCGGCGAGAGACGTAGAAAAGAACAGAGAGAGAGAGGAGGAAAGAGCGAAGGGGGGAGTTAACGGGGCCGCGAAATTATCGCCGTGGTATCGCTAATTAAATGCTTTTTTGCGCTGACAAGAAAAAAACGTAAGAGCGAGGAAAGAATTCCGCGCTCCATCGTCGCGCCTATTATTTACGAATGTGCCGGGCAACGAGGCGCGCGCGAGGAGCGGCCGTTAATTTCGCGGATGGAAATTTAATTAACGCGAATTGGCGCGTTCGCCCTCGTTACCGGCGTAACGCGTGCGAGGATCGCGAATCGCTCCTTCCTTCGCGGATGTATTTATTAGACGCGAATGCGTATCCATTACCCCTTATCGCGTCCACTAATTGTTACAACGTATCATTTTCCTCGCGGCTGACAATAACTGGAGCGGGGCAGCGGGCAATGATTATCGCATTAACACATTAAAACGACCGGCTCTTTTGACAAGCTCGCCAGACCGTGGATGACTCTCCTGCCGGAGCGAGTAAGTGAATTTTTTTCTCGGAAACTCGCTCGCGAAATTTTACGAGCGCGTTTAACATTGGAGTTATTCGTCCTGTTCGCGTAATGCTTCTCGCGAGAGAAAGTTTCAGCGCTGCGTTAATGCCTGCGTTATATATTAGTGCTATCAGTGCTCCACCAGGTTGATATTCCGACGTCTACCGCCTGAGTACCCGGATATTCCGCATATCATATTTTAAATTTTATATATATATATATATATCCGCAATAATATATCATTATAACAGAAACAACGAAAGTCGACGTTTTAATGGAGAATACGCTTTTTATTCGCGACTCACGACAACTCGATCTCTCATTCTCGGCCCGTGTGCGAAGAGAGAAATTGTCCTTCGAGTTTTCTCCTCATTGCTTTCAATAATATAATCACTTACGTAATGATACGTGCTGATCGTTATAGCGCACCGCGAACGAAGAAGTATCGTCGTGCACGAAGGTCTCATTGAGAAATCGTGGCCATGCGCTGTTCTACATTATACATCAACGGTTTATTACTTGTTCGATACCTAATGCCGAGCGCGAAATGACGCGTGACGCGTGTAATGCTCGGATATTTGTGCGAAATATCTGCCCGACGATCGCTGGAAGAGTCACCGTATCCTCGATCGGGCCTTAATAGTGTCTAGTATTAAGCCAGGAAGAGCGCTATCGTATCCTCTCGCCTCGCTCACGCCCGCGTGAGATCATAGAAAGTTCGCAAAAAGATCGTTACGATTTATATTTATCAGCGGCCGGTGTGTCTACCGTGTTATTACGGTTTTTGCACCGGCGGTTAATTCGCGGTATTATTGCCCGTATTTGCGAAGCTCGTAATCGGGCAACAGGAGGAGGATGTTGCACACTTTGGAGCCGGTGGCGTGCTCGTTCTCATACTCTTTTTAATTATAACAGCTGTCCCGTTCCTGTGTACGCGCGTGCGCACACATACAAGCCACGCGACAGCCCCGGGAGATTTATGAAATCATCCGGAATATGTTCCCTTCTGACGCACCGCGGAGCGCGCTTGGATTACTCGTGGTAGACCGTGTCCGATTTGATATACCGAAGAGTACACTTGTATTTCCTACTTCTTACCTCGTTAAAGTACACGAACCGTAGTAGCAGACGCGGACAGACGGTTCGAATGAGGTTTCCGAGGGAGAGAACACGGCGAGTGCCGAGTGACCTGAGAATAAACGAAGATCTGACGTTTTCCGAAAATGCGAGAGACTGGAGACGAACGCGAGGATCTCGCTATCCGATTCAAGGATCTAATAATAAATCTAGTTTTAACAGTTTATCGGTTCTCGAAATTCGGCAATTTATCAAGGCGAGGAATTTGTTGCGAGAATTTAACGATCTAAATTTACAATAAAACGGACATATAATCATCGTATGGAAAGAGAGAAATGCTATATTTCCAAATAAGATTTTTCCGCGAAAATTTAATAATTCAAGGGCAGACATGAAACATTTTTAATCATTCGCACAGAGCAGGAATGCAATATTTCAAGTCAGTTAATATTATTAATTTATATGGCAATTTACGGTTAATTTTACGATGGCGCAGGTGTCGCGAAACTATTTCGCACGTCTAGCAGGAATAGTTTTGCTCTAGTACGTTTATGCCGGCGAGCGTTACACTTTCGAATGCCAATTTGCCGAGCTGGCAGGACGAACGATCCACGAGGAATTGCAGACACGAGTGCGAATTAAAATCGGTGTAAGGAAAAATTGCTCTTACGAAACGGCGACGGCCGTGTGTGTGTGTGTGCGTGCGTTGCAATTTTTCCGAGGCGCGCTTTGAAATTTCTTAGCCGACAGCAGCCAGTTTTCTACATGAGATATACGCAATGTAACCTAATTAGGAACCTGGCAGAATTAATTATCTCCTATGTACAGTTGTTATTAATTAAAACGCTCGGTAAATATCGCCGATAATAAATAAATATAATAAAATTAATAAGGGCGCGAAATTTCAACGAGAGGTGAATAATTGCGACGTTGACGTAATACTTTTGCAATGCGACACGTAAGCGCGATGTCATTTTGCGTCACGAATATCGCTGTTCCGCGAAATCGATGCCAGTTTAATCACCACGCGTTTTATAAACGTCGTGAGAGATGAGTAACGGCGAAATGACGGCTACTTACTTTAACGTTGTGGCTCTGATCGCGGAGATTGCTTCTTGCGTTGTACGTACGGTCACGTTACGATGATTTACAACCCCGGTCTGTTACAGCACATCTGCTTATTGCGCCATTCCTTTATACGAAGGCGTATTGCGATATTAATATCAATGGAAAGTTAAGGTCGCGCGGTGGAAGGCTTTTCCTCGTCCCGAATAAGACACGTTTAAATTCCTCCGCGCGTATCGCCAAAAAACAAATCTGTTTTTCTCAGGCACAAAAATATGCTCCTGCTTGCGCGGATTAACGGGCGTTGAATAATTCAAAGCTCCAGATAATGTATACAAAAAACTGTGTGATCTCTCCTTCGCTCGCTCACTCTCTCTTTCTCTCTCTCTCTCTTTCTCTCTGTGGTATTTATATAACAGAAATTAGGTTAACCGTTTTTCCGCTCGCGAGTTTAATTAACATTCGCTCGACCGATATTTTTCGTCGCGCTAATCACACTAATGTAAGCTCCATTTTTTAAGCAGATCTCAAGATACACCCATCCGAGTAATTTAATGAAACCTTGCCTCACCATTACACACGAGCGCGCACGAGACTGTTTGCATCATCGCGATTACCTCACGCCACGGTCGTATTCTTACAGATCTCACGGTAGAATTGTTTTTCGCGAACGTAGGCCTTGGCACTTTTGCTTAATGGTGTTCTTCATTCGCGGGAATTTCTAGCGCATCCGGGACTTCAAGCACCGAATACGCGAAACTACACAGTAATCCAACCTGCAGTCTGCAATATCTTCCAATCCACACAGCCATGTATACTCGTGGAACTTCTAACCATTTCGAAACAACGGTTACTATTTGTACATTTTTCGAAGGGAAGGACGGATAATTATCAAACTCTGAAGTCACATTCATTTTATTTAACCTTCTAATGGCAGGGTGGATTTTCAGAACGTCAAAGCGTTTTACTGCAATCATTTCAAATCAATTAGTAAACTTCTATCTTTTCCATCTATAGATAAACAGAGAAAGAAGTTTTATGTTATTATTTACCGTTTTGCCCATTTCGTACGTTAATTGGATGAAAAATGAACAAAACGGAGCATGGAATCCAGCCCGAACATACCATTAAAGGATAAAAAGTCGACGACTCATAATCTCTCGTAGGATATATCGAAAGTACCGGTAAAAATATTTTCGCACGAGGTTATCGGGAGCGAACTTGAAAAGCCGTAATAGGAGAACATTCGACGCCGACCATTGGGTCTGCCGTTACCTCTCTTCTGGCAAACAAAATTAATAAAAGAACTGACCTTAAACGCCCCCGCCATTCAGTGTCAAAGCATGCGCGGCATCAAGACAGTTTCTTTGTTCCCGGGCGTTTATTCCAGCCGATTGGACGTTCGGGCCAGATTGTAACTTGACCGACGGTAATCCGATCGCTCATAGTCTAATTACTATCCCGGAAGGGCGACTCGCGCGGTCGCGAGTCCACCGAGGGTGCACGCGCATGCCAGCTCTCTCTCTCTCTCTCTCTCTCTCTCTCTCGCTCTCGCTCGCTCGCTCGGTCGCTCGCTCGTTCGTTCGTGCGACACGTCACTTTCGCAGGTTCAAAATTAATGTCGCGTCGATATGTGGTACAA